CAAGGTATTGTCTAGTTTGATATTATAGATAATGAAGAAAAAATATAAGGCATCAGTAGGCTGACTGTGAGTCAAAACACAGAGATGAAGGGGATTTGTTTTCAACATGTACTATAGCAATAAGAAATCAAAGTAAGAATACATTAAATATGTGTAGCCTAGTTTATGTACTTCTTAAAGAAACTGTAGCTCCTTCAGTGAATATAAATATAGAATAGACCCAAAGATGGCCTCATTATAAAAATGGAAAACATTCTGTGACACCTTGATGCTGCTACAAATCAATCTGTACTGTTATAGCGATTCTGATTAGTTGTTATACATTTAAGTTGCAGGACGTTATTCATCTCTTATACAAAGCACTCTCTGTTTAGACAAGAACTAAGAAAAATACTTTTTTTCAGTGATCATATTAAAAAAAAAAGATGGAAAAGAAAGAAGTCAACAAGAATTTTCATGTCCTAGATTCCTTTCCTCTTATAAATTAATGGAGTGTATCTAATACATTTGGACTGATAAATGTTATTCTACCTGGGAGCTGAGCAAGATATGGATTTTATGCCACATAAATCTTCCTTTATTCTGTTTTGTGGCCTTAAAACTGATCTACCAGTACTAATACCTCTAGGTATTATGAAATGGAAATATTGTTATCTGTTTTGCATCCTCTAAGCTTTTAGAGACGTTAGAGTTGCTGCATTGTCTCCAGAGTCAGAACAGGTTTTTTTTAAGTTTATATTTACTTAGGACCAAAAAAATAGATAAACATAGATATGTATACACGAGTGTGTGTTTATCTCTGAGAATGGAACTGCATGAGAAAGAATGCTAAATATATTAAATATCATGTATTTTTAGTACTTAGCTTGAGTTCTGTATCTGTTTCCATAAAAAGAGCAACCCATACATTTCTTTAATAAGAATGTTATACTTCAAATTTCATGTAGACAATATGAAGCCTGTATTAAGTGGAAAAAGCTTACTTTAAAATAAGTCTATTTATTATTCAGTTATGTAGTCTATTTACTGCTTTTCATTTCCAACAACAATGAAGAAAAAGACTCAGCAGAAGAAGGAAGATTCAAATGTTGATCAGAAAGTTAAATATAGATTATTACCAGATAGATCATTGTAGGGTTCCCAGGTAGCTTAATCTAACTTTATGGCTTGTATAACAATTAGTATTCTCAAAATACATGAACTTTAAATCAAAATACCACAATATATTCAATAAAAAGAAAGGAGAAGGAGAGGGAAATGGAGATGTGGTGGTAAAACATCTAACTAAGATCACTAAGTTGAAGAAAGTTTCTCAAATAAAGTATTAAAGAACAGTCCATTCATTTTCAGTTTATATCCATTTTTGCAAAGAGAGGTTGTGGAGTCTCCTTTGGAAATATTCACAACCTGCCTGGATGCAACCACATGCAATGTGCTCTAGGTCTCCTTCAGCCTCAACCAGTCTGTGATTCTGTAATTCATTCCACATTTAGTTCATTAGAGCTTGGACTCATCAGACAGATTTGACTTTCCACTGGTGTCTTCAACCACTCTCTAACTCAATCAGCACATCCATGACCTCTAGGTAACTGGTTACCATATAGTGGACGTTAACATCACGTTTGGACTTGAAAAACTGTAACGTATGATCATGGCCTAACTGCCATGCTTAGGTCGGCATTTTTTTTTATTTCTGAGAAGGAACTGTTTGTAAACAAAGAAATTCGATAATTTTCCTGACTTATCTTCTTTACTTTCTATGAGAAGGAAGTAAGGTTTGATGAAACTATTCAAGAATGAGGAAATTTTCATTACAGCTAATATCCTTTGGGGGATTTTTACAGCAGAGCTTACTGCTGACCTTGGTTATCATTTGGAAGGTTTGTCAGTGCTGTAAAATGTTGGCTTTTTGATTCTTAGTTTTAGTCAAAATAAGTCAACAATATAGAAATATTGCATAGTGTAATTGCATTTTATAATGGTTTTCCTCTCTTCTCTCTTTTGGATAGTTGATAAACTGCAATGTTTGTCTTTATCCTCATCTTTTTTATACAGTCTCACACCTATACTTCTGGTTTTTCCACCCTGTCTTTACTTAATGAAAAAAGAAAGTGTTTGCTAGCGGATCTTTCAATATCTGGATTATTACTTAAGTCTTCACATAAGAGCACAATTCAAAGCGCTACCTCTAGTGAATAAATCTGTGAAAAATACAGACAAATTGTCCTGTATTATGGTTCCTCTTTCCTAGATTTTCTTCTAAGGTTTATCAAAATATTTTTTTCAGTGTGTCTACAGAAAATCAACACAACTCTAAAAAGATTTTTGATCAAAAGGTTAACAAATGCTGAACAAATCTTCTTGAGTTCAGATCACTTTTGTAAATATTTTCATCTCATCACATTCTAACATTTTGGAAGTGAAATATTGCTGTTATGGTTTTTTTTTAGTACGGATAACCGGATAACAATCAAAACATTTTTTTTTCAGATTTAATTTACAAAATTTTTGCTCTGAGTTAGGCGTCAACCTTTTCTTTTCTTTCTTTTTCTTTTCTTTGGAAGTGAAATATTGCTGTTATGGTTTTTTTTTAGTACGGATAACCGGATAACAATCAAAACATTTTTTTTTCAGATTTAATTTACAAAATTTTTGCTCTGAGTTAGGCGGCAACCTTTTCTTTTCTTTCTTTTCCCTTTTCTTTTCTTTTCTTTTCTTTTCTTTTCTTTTCTTTTCTTTTCTTTTCTTTTCTTTTCTTTTCTTTTCTTTTCTTTTTCTTTTCTTTCATTTTTTGATCCACAGGAAATATTTTATCTAGTTCACACATTTCAAAAATGTCTGTTTCAAGCATGAGCCAAACTATTGATTGTTCAAAAATATTTATATAAAAAAACTATGAAACTATGCTTTGGCACAAATTTATTAAGACTGGAGACATTATATGCTTGGATAGTGCTTTGAGTATATCTTGTCAGTCTCTTGTATCTCATTGCTTTCTCCTATGGCCTCAAAGAAAGCTCAGCCTTATCACCACTGTTCTACTCAGTGGTTCCACTTAAACAAGAATAAAGGAGTGTTAGGTATCTTCTAACACAGGCTGTCAGGTAAATGTTTTGGTGTCTCATATGTGATTTAAAGTCTTTTAATAAATCTCCACCGTATTGTATAATTGGTTGACCACCACATGCCATAAATGTTTAAGGGGAAGTTCCCTTGTTTTTCAACACACATTTATGCTTAAACTGCAGCAGAACTAACACAGCCTGGTTTCTTCTGTTTATATGTTTCCAGCTGAGTAATAGTCACTTCAAGGCGAGCAGCCTTTACCTTTTCAGGATAAAA